TTTCTTACAATAAAACTTCAAAAAGAAAAGCAAGTGGAGAGCATGTGGAAGGGAGGGGAAAGCTGTGTGTGTGTGTGTTCAATTTAGTGTGCTGATTATGTGCTATTTGGTATTTTTTGTGACTTTTGCTGGACAAGGAAAAAGAGGGAGTGTAAGCGGCGGAATGTGTCAATCAGCACGTTTGCCGTGCAATTAGACCACTCTGCTCAGTTGTTGACACAGTCCGATCGGTTGGTCAGTCCAATCGGATGCNCTGATTATGTGCTATTTGGTATTTTTTGTGACTTTTGCTGGACAAGGAAAAAGAGGGAGTGTAAGCGGCGGAATGTGTCAATCAGCACGTTTGCCGTGCAATTAGACCACTCTGCTCAGTTGTCGACACAGTCCGATCGGTTGGTCAGTCCAATCGGATGCGATGTGTGATGTGATGTGTGTGTGTCGTTTGCTCATCAACCACTCTTCTTGCAGGAGTTGCTGGCGCACTGCGAGACGGGCCAGCCAGCGAGGCGATCGCTGATTGCGTTGATGGCACTGCGAGAGAAGCTGCGTGATGGACAGCGATCCGCTTTCGACGCCAGTGATTGCCCCGTTCGAATGCCATTTATACAGGCGCGGTACTTACGCCAGGAACTGGGGGTAAAAGAAAAAAGAAGTGTCAGTGCTTAGAAGTTGTATGTGTGCCCTTCTGTGCAGACTGTCTTTGTCAAATGATGATGATGAAATTTGACAAAAAAAACAAAACCAAAGTGCCGCTATGAACAGTAGCTGAACATCAATGGCAGAGAGTGTAAAACGAGTGTCTGGAGAAAGTGCAAAGTTGAGAACTCACTGGCAGCCAATTAGGTAAACAGCTTAGAACAGCAGCAGCAGCAGGCGCCGTCATCAGTAAAGGGAGCAGAAGGCGACACGTAATTTGATTCAGTCCGCCGGTGGCACTAAAGTGCCCACTCTGACCAGTGTCCACTCTGCAGCTGCAGCTGCAGCCACGGGAGAAATTGGGTTCGCTGGGTAATTGAATCATCACTTACTCGCCATCTCTTCCCACCCAGAGAGAAGACTGATAGCTGATGATGCTGATGCTACTTGCTGGCTAGCTTGCTAGTTGGCTAGAGCTCATTTGGCCATCTACTTTACTGAAAGCAATCTAACAGTTTNTGATAGCTGATGATGCTGATGCTACTTGCTGGCTAGCTTGCTAGTTGGCTGGAGCTCATTTGGCCATCTACTTTACTGAAAGCAATCTAACAGTTTTTGCTCTCTTTCTCTCTCTTTCTTTCTCTTTCTTCTATCGGTAATTGCTTTATTTAGATGTGTATTTAGTTATGGTAATTGCCTTCATCAATCAACAACAAAGCACCGTATTGGTGTGGGCAACGTTTTTCTGCTGCTACTGCTGCTGCTGGTTGATTATTGTTCTATAGAATCGCAACAGCTAGAAATGTGGCGGCGGTAGTAATAAGTGGACTTTGGCACTTTGCACTTTAGCAATTAAACGCTCTTTCTAAGTAGTGGCGGGAGTGTGTTGATTACTTGAGGTGATTGATCATGAAATGAGTTTTGCCGATGTTGATGTTGATGTTGATAGGGTGATGCTAAACTGCACTCAAACACTTACCAGCACTGTCCCTTGGAGCCGATGGTGCTCGGACGGAAGTTGGTGAGACACTCGGCGACGCCTCGGTAGGCAATGCGGTCACAGTTGCCCACCAGTGGGAAGCTGTTGAGGAGGCTGCCGGCGCCGGAGCTGGCGCCAGAGCCGAGGCCACTGAGCAGACTACCGCCGCCACTTCTGCCAAGGGAAGAAGGCATCAGATTAGAGAGCGGCGAGGAGGAGATCATTCGAGAGAACCCATTGCTGATGGTGCTCATGCCACGCTGCAGGCCTGAGGAGACATTAGGGAAGAGGTCCTGCAGAAGTGCTTCCGCCGCCGGTGGGGTGCTGCCCATTGAGGTCAGCAGAAGAAACGCCGCTAAACACAGTGAAACGGACTTCATCTTTTCACAAGTTTAAAGTGTGTATTCGTGAATAAACAAAATTTTGACACAAAGTAGTAGTGTGTGCGCGCACTGCAAACTTCGTCTTCAAACTTCAAGTGAGCTCAAGTGAGCAATCACTTGAGCACTTTTGAAGGGAATCAAAGAAGATGGACCTCCGTCATCCTCTGCTTCTGTATTTCACTCGTCGGCTGGTGGTGCTCGAGGCGCATCAGCAGCCACAACAGAGGGGGAAACAGACGGACTCTTGTCTTTTTTCTCTGCTACTGTGAATGGTAAGTGAAAGTACTCACCCTCCAGCAAGTGATTGCCGCATTATGATAACGAGTTTGTAAATTCAATTAGCCATCATCGAAATCGACCCTTGAACATAGCTTTTGCTGTATTTGGATGTAGTTAAACTACTGTGTGTGTGTGTGTGGACGTCCCAATTGATTACAGATCGGCAACACCGTACAAAGATGCAACACAGCACTTGTGTTCATTCTGTACTCACTTTTGAAGGGAAAATGGCGGGGGAAAGNGCATTATGATAACGAGTTTGTAAATTCAATTAGCCATCATCGAAATCGACCCTTGAACATAGCTTTTGCTGTATTTGGATGTAGTTAAGCTACTGTGTGTGTGTGTGTGTGTGTGTGTGTGGACGTCCCAATTGATTACAGATCGGCAACACTGTACAAAGATGCAACACAGCACTTGTGTTCATTCTGTACTCACTTTTGAAGGGAAAATGGCGGGGGAAAATGTAGAGAGTGTTGTAAAAGAGGTTGTTGCTGGCACTGTCTGCTCAGTGCACTGATCGATTGTACCTAAGGTTGAGGGAGGCTATCACCGACACATCGATTTATTGCACTTCCACGCTGCTGAGCAGACCCGCCACAAAAGGGTTTGCACCAGTTTTGACACCAGTGCACAGCAAACATACCAGGGCGGCACCATTGCCCACAAAAATGTGAAACTAATTCAACTGTTGTTTTGTGTTGAACAATGAGATTCTAAATGACGAAGGACAAACTTCGAACTCTGGGAAGTTGGATAAATTGAGCTACATTGAGTGATGTCACTTACTTATGTGATTTGTAGTGATTTGAAGTTATTATATTTGTGATATTTTATTATTGTTATTGCTTTGCCGTGGTCCTGTTACTATCCACTGGCTTGTGTTTACTTGTTCTGATCGTCATTTTGCATTGCACAAGTCTCTACAAAGTAAAGCCAATGATGCAATGGAGAAACAAGCACCTAGCACACTGGTTCTTCCCACTCGTAAACCCATGCGGACTTTTCGATTTATTTCTCCCTTTTTTTCAACAACAGTAGCTGCCATTTGAAGCAGAGATGAGCCTAATCAGCTACCACCAGCCAGCAAGTAGCAATGCCATGTCTGTGGTGGGCTCATTAGGAAGGCGCCTCAAGTGCTGTTTATTGATTATAAATTAGCCTGCTTGCATGAGGGAAGAAAAAGAAGAAGAAGGAGACTNGCCATGTCTGTGGTGGGCTCATTAGGAAGGCGCCTCAAGTGCTGTTTATTGATTATGAATTAGCCTGCTTGCATGAGGGAAGAAAAAGAAGAAGGAGACTTTTTTGCAGCACCAAACACAAGTTTTCTTAAGTGTGTTTGATATGGCAAAGCCCATCATTATTCTCTTGTGTTAAGGGAATTTTTAGTTTTTGATAAATCAGCTACAATAAGTAAAGGAAAAAATCAATTTAAACAACAACAAAAACTTTAGCATTTGCTTAGAATATTCAAAATCAGTGATTAATTTTTCTCAAATACNAAGCCCATCATTATTCTCTTGTGTTAAGGGAATTTTTAGTTTTTGATAAAGTCATCTACAATTAGTAAAGGAAAAAAATCAATTTAAACAACAACAAAAACTTTAGCATTTGCTTAGAATATTCAAAATCAGTGATTAATTTTTCTCAAATATCCTTGCCATCAAATTTATTTAAAGTTTAAATAAATTCAGTTTCAAAAATTAGCCTGTTTATATGAATAATTAATAGCCACTAGCAAAAAGTATAAAGAACATTGAACAGCAGTTTTTAAAGTGCTAATGAGTAGAGTAGAGTCATTGAAAATTTAATTACATTTTAATACATTGAAAAATTGCCAAGTTTGTCTGTGTCACGCAACTGAGAGTGTCTATGTATGTAAACGCTCTTGACTTGAACTAGGATATGTTTCAGTGATCAAACGAAAAAAATTTCTCTCATTTGCGCGTTTTATAAATAACAACATTGAACAGCATTTTTCTAGGTAATGAAATTTTAATAATCATGACTTGTGCACTAAAATGTACTTTTTATTTCATTTCTTGATAACGCAGTAGTTGCCAGGAAATGTGTTTGAGTTGGGGTGTGTGTGTGAGTTGCTTGCATTCGAAAGCTGTTCGTGTCAAAAGTGCAGTTTTGATGTTTTTTGTTTCTGTCACTAAAACCATAGCATTAGCATTAACATTAGCAGCAGCAGCAGCAACACAGTAGTAGTTCAGCACTTCAAACTAACAAACGATGATTGGCCTAATTAGCAATTAGTAAACTGGTGAACAGTAGACAGATGTGCCAGACAGATGGCAGAGATGCAAATCAATTCAGATGATCATCTGCTGTGGCAAATTAAATCAAGTGATCGTTGACCCTAAATGAAGACAATGATGAGTGGCTGTGTTTCACAGCTGAAATTAGCAATCAGTTGATGGTAGCTGTCAGTGCCAATATCATTGTCACCTGCTTAAAAACTATTGTCTGCGTCAGTCTGAACAGGCATTACATGTTTTGAAGCAAGCATTACGGTTGACAATGTTAATTCACTGTGGACTGTTGTTAATTCTCCTGACAACTACCATTTTCATTAATGATCATGTGTGTGAAGAAGAGCCACTGTACAGGGCAGTCTACGTACAGCCAGAACAAATTCATCTTTCACTTGGTGGTCAGTGCCAACAGAAAAACATGAGTTAAATGTATTTTTATTTTTTAACTTGAATGCTTTTTAGGCAATCCTCATCAGAGGGTACTCACCTGGACTACCTTTAACCGGACCTCTAGGTCCACTGTTTGGTATGGCACAGAGAGGCTGAACAAAGTTGCCTACGGCGACCATGGCACTCTCTTCACCGATGGCGGCCCCGAGAAGAGGTCAATGTACATTCACCGAGTGTACCTCAATGATCTGGAGCCCAACACCACGTACAGTAAATGAATTTTTTAATTTTATTTTGTTTAAAATGTTTTTTAAAGGCAAACTATTCTATTCTATATAGAGTACCACGTTGGCTCTGAACTCGGCTGGAGTGAGCTATTCCTCTTTCGGACTTTTCCTGACGGCTACCAGTGGTCGCCACGGTTCGCAGTGTACGGCGATCTGGGCAATGACAATGCACAAGCGATGGGACGGCTGCAGATGGAGGCGCAGAATGGACAGTACGATTTCGTGTGGCACTGTCTGTCTGATATACACTGATCACTTATCAGATTACAATTTTACTAATTTTGTTGTTGTTTTTTCTAGTGGGAGATTTTGCCTACAATTTAGAGGACGACAATGCCAAAGTGGGCGATGAATTTATGCGCCAGATTGAGCCTATTGCCGCTTATGTTCCCTACCTGGTGACGCCAGGAAACCACGAAGAGGCATAGTTAGTAGTCAATGGATTAGTAAAACTCAACTTTACTAAAATATACTTTTTCTACTTTTCCGTATAGCAACTTCTCCAACTACGACAATCGTTTCACAATGCACTCTAACACTGGTAACGAAGCAATCTCCAACTTTTTCTGGAGCCAAAACATCGGCCCTGTTCACCTGATTTCTATCAGCACCGAGTTTTACTACTTTCCAAAGTGGTATGGCGCTTTACAACTAGACAACCAATTTCGATGGCTTGAGGCAGACTTGGAGAAAGCAAATCGACCTGAAAACAGAGCCCGACAGCCGTGGATCATCGTCGGCGGCCACCGGCCATTCTACGTTAACACCTACATTGACAGGAAGTTGCAAACGGCCTTTGAGGAGCTTTTCTGGAGAACTGGAGTTGATATTTACATGGCTGGCCATGAGCACATTTTCGATCTGAGCTACCCGGTGTACAGGGAACAGGTGAAGGGCAAATCGTTCGCCAATCCAGCGGCGACCATTTACATTATCAGCGGTTCGGCGGGCTGTATCGCCAATATCTCCGAATTCAGTGCCTGGCCACCGCCGTACACGGCCAAAGTGAGTGGTGAGTACGGTTTCAGCAGCATGACCGTCATCAACGCCACGACCATTCACTTTCAGCAAATTAACCATGAACAGGTTTGATCGGTTCTATTGGTTTTGTTTTCAAAGTTAATTTTATCTCTCATTTTCAGGCGTTTTTTGAGGTGGTGCACGACATGTACATCACCAAAGAGAAGCACGGCCCCTACCACTGAAAGCACTTACAGCTATTACTTCTTTTTGCAGTCCTATTTTCAGTTCATAAACTGTTTTCAAGTCTGACTGTGTTTGATGGCAAAACAAAGTACAAAACAACACTGGCATTTACAAACTTGCTAAAAATAATTTGCAAATGATTATGATTTGAGCAAATAAAAAAGTAATTGAATGTGACAGAATCATGTGCTGCTGCTGTTGATGACGTGATGACGACAATGACAATGATGATGATGATGATGATGACAGCGATGATGATGACAGCGATGATGCTGATGATGCTGACATGTGAATAAACAGTGGGAATCTCTTCTCCAAATGACAATTGACAACTTTGTGCTTTGCTTTGCTTTGCTTTGCTGTGATGCCAATCAGTAAACGTTGTGTGCACACACGATCACCCCCAAAGTGAAAGTGTGTCTGTGTGTGTGTCCATTGTTCAAACAGATTGTTGATTCTTTGCTTGTGAAATCAGATTAGACAGTGCGATAAGTGATGCGACAACAACGGCGCTGATGTCGTACGACTACTGGCAGTACTGCTAATGAACGCGTTTTCTTCTTCTTCTTCTTCAATCACCATCATTACCATCGTCNATCAGATTAGACAGTGCGATAAGTGATGCGACAACAACGGCGCTGATGTCGTACGACTACTGGCAGTACTGCTAATGAACGCGTTTTCTTCTTCTTCTTCTTCTTCAATCACTATCATTACCATCGTCTGGGCCAGTAGAGTAAATGGACTAAATCTCCTTCTAGTAGTGACTTCCTGCATCACTGTCAAACCGTATAGCACTACTGATAAGGCAAAAGTGAACACGCAGTTTGTGTGCCAAAATGAAAATCAATGTGTATCAAGAAACAGCAGCATCAAAAGGAAAAACATGCAAACAAAAACACTTCTTCCAATTCTTCTGTTGATTCTAAGTTGGTTTGTAAGTGAAATCAGTGCAGAAAATTATGGCCCAGTTTACGTTCAACCAGAACAAGTTCATCTATCACTTGGTGGTAAATGATTTTCGTAAACAACTCAAAATATTTTTCATTGTCTACTCCTTTTTTCAGTCCAACCAACTGAACTGGTAATCACTTGGACAACCTTTAATGCGACGACAAACTCCACTGTTTGGTATGGCATTGACAAGATGGACCAGGTTGCCTATGGATGGCAAACAAAGTTCACTGACGATGGGGCAGAAAAACGAGAAATTCGCATTCATCGAGTGAAGTTGAGCAATCTGCAGTCTGGGGCATCGTACAGTGAGTTGATCATCTACATTACACTGACATTATCATTAGTTTTATCTTTCAATGTATCAAAATAAGAGTATCACGTCGGCTCTACGGATGGCTGGAGTGAGGTGTTCACCTTTACCGTTTTTCCAAACTCAAGCGACTGGACGCCAAGACTGGTCGCTTTTGGTGACCTGGGCAATGTCAATGGCCGTACACTAGCTCGGTTGCAAGATGAAATTCAGCGGGGTCAGCATGACTTGATTCTACATGTAAGTGTGGCAGGTGTGATCACTGGCAATTTAATAATCAGTCACCCCACAAAAGATTGGAGACATGGCCTATGATTTGGAGTTTGACAACGGTCGAGTTGGTGATCAGTTCATGCGACAGATTGAGCCAATGGCAGCCTATGTGCCGTACCAAACCATTCCGGGAAATCATGAACGTGGATAGTGAGTGATTTTACAGTTTATTTATTGTTTACAGTAGTGATCACTTTATTTGCAGCAACTTTTCCCACTACAAAAATCGATTTTCAATGTACTCTGAGGGTGACGATGGTAGAGCAATGTCAAACTTTTTCTGGTCGTACAACATTGGTCCCATTCATCTGATTGCATTCACCACTGAGTTTCTCTACTACACTCAATTTGGTACTCACCAAATTGACAATCAGCTTCGTTTTCTGAAGGCTGATTTGAAGGAGGCAAACAAGCCGGAAAATAGAGCACTTCGACCGTGGATTGTAGTCACAGGGCACAGACCAATGTACACCCAGTTCTACGTCAATGAGATCATCAGAGTGGGCAATGAGTTTGGTCAGGGCTATGAGGAGCTGTTCTACAAGGTACCAGGAAACTTAACTATTAATGTCATTAAAATTAATGTAAAAAGTGAACTTTTTGTTTAGAATGGCGTAGATTTGATGCTTTTTGCCCACGAGCACCTGTACGAGAGGCACTGGCCACTGTACAATAGGACTGTTTTCAAGAAAGATGGCGATCAGCAGGCGTCGTACACTAATCCGCTGGCACCAATTTCAATAACGACTGGATCAGCGGTTTGTTTGTCAGATTATTGTTTCTAAATCAACTAAAATAAAGCAATATTGCTTTGAAGGGTTGCACACTTCGACCACCGCTCGTTTTGGAACAATTACCTGAGTACACTGCTTTCTCTGTGAACGACTACAGCTTCACACACTTGATTGCCAACTTGACTCACATTCGCATTCAGCAGATTTCAGAAGATCAAGTATGTTTTAGTAGTAATTTGTTTACGCTCATTAAACGCTAATTAAACTTTATACTTTATTTTTTAGGGTGGAAAAGTGGTGGACGACTTTTACGTAATCAAAGAGACGCCCAATCCAGCATGGCTGCCAGTGACCCAAAAAGCCAATGATGCCTGATAAATGGCAAAAACAAGCGCATCTTCTAACAGTGCAACAATAAATACTGATTTTAATATATAGATCAATAAAAAGTATAAATTATCATCTGTGGGTGTGTGTGATTTGGGGTACAACAAGAATATAACAGAGGAAGTGAATGGGGTGAATGAGTGATGGGTGAGATGAAAGTGTGTGTGTGTGTGTGAGTAGTGACACTACCACTGAGAGCGGGGGGTCGTCTGCATGTATCCCCCTGATTGCCGTTGCTGTCCCATGCCACCTCCACTGCCGCCCATGGACTGGCCACCGTACTGACTGGAGCTGCCACGCCCACCCTGTCCCATGCCGCCCATGCCTCCCATGCCTCCCATGCCCATTCCGCCCATCATCGGGTTCATCATCGCAGGGTTCATCATTCCGCCGCCCATCATCTGCATCTGCTGCGGGTACCTGCTCATCATCGACTGCTGTCCATAGGCGCCGCCCATCATCGAGCTGGGATAGCCACCGCCCATCATGGAGGCCATGCCGGGCATTCCGCCGAAGGAGCCAAACTGCGGGTTCATCATCGCCATTGGGTAGAGGGAGAGCATCCGCGAGCCGTACATGCTCGACAGGCCACCCATGCCCGGGTACATGCCCGGTCGTATCTGAGCGTGGACCACACTAGAGTTCAGCAGACAGAGAACCACCGCCACGGCGCACGCGGTGATGGCAGAAAAGAGGAGAGAAGAGGACAATTGGTGGAAACCTTGCTTCTGCTGGTCTGACTGATGGTGATGAGAATGAAGGTGAGACTGATCAAGTCGATGCCGCAAAAGAGAGGTAAGTGTTGAAGAGGAGGAGGTGGCGGTAGATGGAGAAGAAGTCATTTTGCTAGTTATTTTGAAGAGTAGTTTGCGTAGTTGTGATCAGGAAGACGGTCAGTTGCTGAGTGATGAGCTTCACCGCCGAGCTGAGGCCATTTATGTCAGTGGTCGGATCAGTAGAACGAGTGAATGAGTGATTAGTGATTATCGACACAGTCTGGTGTTGATACTGGTGGTGGGGTGATTTCACATCTCCATCCATCAGTGTGACACTGTCAACTGTGTCCGATTCATTGTCACTGAGCAGTGTCAGTGAATGTGTGAATGGGTGAATGTGTGTGTGCTCAGTTCAAGCAGGTGCAGGTGAGTGTGTTTAGAAGAGGATGCAATTGCTGTTGCTGGGTGATGGGAGCTCAGTGACAAAATATAGGGGACAAAAGAGTAGGGGAAAACAGTAGTTGTGGCCAAAAGTTGGGTAAAGTTTGATAAAAGTAATGTCTTGGGAAGTGGTGTCTTGCTGGTTCTCGTGATCTGAACAGCAGTTTTGGACTTCTAAAGTAGTAGAAGTTAGAAAAAAGAAAAAGAAAATTGAATTATTGAATTAGTAAAGCAAAAAGGAAAGTACGAGAAAGAGCTTCTAGTTTGAGTCAGCTAATTAATTAATTAAAAGTTAACTTTCCAAAAATAAAGACAAGACAAACAACAAGCCATTATAGCAACTTTTGATTTCCACTCATTCCTAAATCGACTACTGTAATGTACACTGTCTGTTCCCTCTGTTTGTCTGCTGTCATTGTAATTCTATTGTCTGTTTGAACAGATGCAGAACCACCACCACTCGTTAATTGTCAGGCCATCTTTGACAGAGAAAGTGCTGAGAGTGACAGAGTGTACAAAAGGGGGTGAAATTGGGATGGGGGTTGATTGATGCTGGCACAGGAAACACCATCGTGGTTCAATAGCTAGTCCACTAGTTCGAAAATATTTTTGCACCCTCAAAAATAGTCACCTCACTGCACTCTTGACAAACAACCTCAACAACAACAACCACAGCCACGACGAATTCGGGAATGATGGAAAAATTTTGATGATAGAGGAACGAGTGCAAATTAGAGAAATGGAAATTAGTCATGGGTGAAGATGATATATCGATCTGATGAAGAAAGGGGAAAGGAAAGGGACAAAATTGCAGAGTTGGGTGCCTGATATCAAAGCAGTAGGGTGTAAAGTCTGGTTCCACTTTCACTCTCACTCCTTTTCCTGCCTCAGTGCCGCCTAATGCAATATTGCAATCAAGACTAATGAAAACGAATGGCATAACTTGACTGTGGTGTTAGTGGTGATGGCAGCAATTGCGACAGCAGTTGAAACGATGCCAATTAACATTTCCAATGAAATGGACAAATATTTGCACACTGAAGGTGCTGCTGGTAATGGTAATGTGCGCTGCGCTTCCTGTGCAGTCGCTGGCTGGCAATGATGCACCGTCCGCTCACACCACCACTCACCGAACACTGCCACAGCCAACAGTTTGTACTATTTGCCCAGAGTAGGTGATACTACCTGAGAGAGGATGCTGTGCATGCAGTGCAGGTCTCTCCCCGTCATCACCGACATCATCAGTCTCCCCGTCATGTTGCCCAGAAAACGGAATTCTAATTTTTCCCCTTCCATTCTCTTTCCTTTCATTGAATGTTCAGTAGTGTGTGCCCAATGTGGACACCATAAAGAATGAAAGAGTTGTACGGCAATTGACGCAGCTTACCCTTTACACAGCTTCAACTGCTAAAGTTAGCAATTTCTGTTTCTGTGCTCGTTGTTTGTCACTTCTTTTCACTTGCTGATGCCGTTTCCGCCGCCGCCTTTGCTGCCTTTGTATTGATCGC